ACGGTTCTGCCACGTCACTTAGTCTCCACCAAATCATCGGTGCACTCTAGTAAGCTGACTAACTTATCACTAAGTCAATTTAGACTTTCACTGGATGATCTACCAGGAGTCATGAAGTCTCACCATATCGTAGGTGCACATTGGATGGTTACTTGGCCGCAGCCACTAAGCCTCACCGGATGATCCAGTAGGTGCCACAAAGGCAGGTCATACGATGACTACTCAGTTACTGGTGCTAAGTTATTACTACCATCAGCAGAGTGCCACTGGATGATCCGCCAGGTGTCACCCTTATCGTGCGGTGCACATTTCGGTGCATTTTCAATTCTAAGCCCATTTTAAGTCTGATCTTTACCAATTCAATATTTTTAAGATTGTTGACTTAAAATGTAACGAATAGAGCCACTTATGCTTTGGCCTTGAATGAGAGTAAGGATCTTGTGAATACCAAATGCTCTAACTTGAACTCTCTCAAGATGCATGCCTTGGGACCCCTTAATAATACGGAAGCCCTAAACTATACACTCTACAGACAGTGAATGTCTTCGAGCACCAAGTTCATATTCGCCCTATGTAGTCCTTAGGGTCTGTTTGGTTCAGTTGTAAGCTGTAAAAAAACTGTTGTAAGCTGTGAACTATGAAAAAGCTATTGCGAGCTATGTGAGTTTTAAGTTGTTTGGTTAAAATAACTATGAAACCTATTATCTCTCTTTATCTTATTTGAAATAGGTGTAAAAAGTTTGTCTATTTCCACCCATTTGAAAAAACGGGGTCCAAATTGCTGCGAAAATTGCACTATATGAAAAAAATCTGCTTTTAGAAAAGTAGCTTCAGGCTCTACATGTGTAGTTAGTGTTCTACTTTTTGGCGGTAGAAGCACTTTATAGAAGCTAAACCAAACACAATTTAGTCTTCACGAGTATCCTTTGCACTAGACATTGTGGTGGCCATTCTTGAAACTGACTAATGTGATTATCCACCATAAAAACATATGTTAGTCTACAAGCACTTGTGCTCATCAATCACCGAAATCCCAAAACACCAAATTGGGACCTAGATGTGTACGTAGGTGAGCTTATATTCTCTCACACTAGCAACATTTGTACCATGCCAATTTGCGAAGTGTTACACGTATTTGAACAATTTATAAGTTGTTAGACTAATCTAAACGCATATACCATGTTATTGTATGGTTGATGTTATGATGTATTTTATTCTTTATTTGGCATTGGGAGCCTCTCTTCAATATGGTAAAGTAGTGGAATGAGTGGCTAGGGCTATTGTTGAAGCTGATAAAGACCGTCTCAAAATAAGTGCACATCTCGCACTTCGAGAAATCAACTAATCTTTAATTTGACCAAATTAAAATAAAAATATTAATGTTTATGATATTAAATAAATATCATTAGATTAATCATGTTGTATATTTTTATAGTAAACCCTTTTTAGAGTTATAAATATTAATAGTATTTTTTAAATCTAGTTAAACTTGAAATTAGTTAACTCCTCGAATAAATGAGATGTGCACTCGGAACGGGACAAAACTGAGCACAATGGGCAATGTATTGAAGGGTGCATTAGACCTTAGAGTAGAGCAGAGACAACATGCAGAGACGGCATGCATGTCCGCTAGTGTCGTCCGCCAATGGACAAACATTTGCGGCAATTTCTTCTTCCTTTAGCAATAGTACCCCAACCATGTAGCCGCTGACCCGTTGCCGCTTTCTACGGTTGCATGATGCCGCGTCGCTTAAACCTGGAGCGCCAAATCCGTAGGTGCGGTGCCTACACAGCTCAATGGTGCGCCGAAGATACGCCGTAGCCAACTCCCGGCTCCCGTGTCCGGCCACTCGTCGCCACACTTGCCGATCCAGCCGCCGGCCGGCCGTCTGCTGTAAAAGCCGCGCGGTCGATCACCGTCTCCTTCCCGGCCGGCCCCTAGGTAGCCCTATCCAGCCCCTAGGCTTAGCTAGCAAGACTGCAAGAGCCAGTCTCGCGCGCGCACACAGGCAGCCTCGCCTGGCCAATGAGCCCCGCCGGTCGTGCCGCGGCATGCCTCGCGCCCAGCTTTCACCTCATGTCCCTCCCCGTCCCCGGCCCCTGGCCCGCCAGCTACCTGCTGCTTATCCTTCCTCGATCGATCGCAAAAGAGGAACTGACATTGACCGCGCGCGCGCGCGCGACCGAAAAGGAGAGCCACCACTTCCGCGTTATCTCCCCCTGGAATGCGCCCGCCTCTTTTCCGCGCGCGCGGATCGGACAGAACGATAGCTAGCGTCGCACTTGGGATTAGAAAATGGGCCTCGCCACATTCGTATCCGGCTCCCTCGATCGTCTTTTCCGCAAAGCGATCGAAATGCTTCCTGCGTGCCCCTGCGTATATATTGTTGTGCTAGCTGCACCTGCACCCGATCCGCAGATCGATCGTATCGCTCCAACATACTACTGGCCGCGCATGCTTGCAGCGCTGGTTCATCAGTCTCTGGATCGACTGGAGACGCACGCGGGATCCGATCCTCTTGTCGTAGTGCAGTTGTTTATTTACAAATCTCCCATTCGCTTTTCCACAAAGGTGGAAGAACGCCTGCATGATACAGATCACTGGCGAATGATCGATCGTATTATATAATTCGGTCGACAAAGCTTTATGTGACAATAATGATCAGGATCATGGCTGCATTTGTATATACAGGCCTATAGCAACTTGGCGCTTCCCGCCACTGACCGCAAAGCAGATCGAGCCGCGCACAGGCACAGAAACATCGCTAGTGTATAGTCTGCTATGCTATAGCGCGCGAGTGGTCTGGTCGCTCTGAAAGATGCTGCTCATCGATCTGCAACTCCCGCGGCACTAACGAACTGATTGGACAGCTACTGAACGCGACGGCTCCATCGGGGACACGATGGAACGCGGCGTCTGCATGCGCGCTAGCTACTGTATGCTATTGCGCTAATCGATCATCAAGCCTGCTCCAGCTGGGGACGAACGAGACCGGTAGTGGCATTTCCAGACGGGCTCCTGTCGACCGAGGACGTGCATGCGCGCACTTCAAATAATGCATAGCTGGGGGATTGGATCATCGTCAGGCATTCAGGCGAGAGTGCCGAGATCAGAAAGCTGGCTGGTGGATAGCTGCGGACTTCGAAGGAACAGGAAATTGGTCGAAAAGGGGGACGACATACATGATTGCCCTTTTTGACGGGATTGTCAGGGTCTCTGTTGCGCCCAGATTTGGAAATATACGTGGCATGTCGGATAGCTCATGCCCTCATCGGATTGCTACTACAAGGTGAATTCGAGAGAGTATTTGGAAGGAGGCTTCTCAGTGTCCGGACGGATTGGTTACAGAGTTTCTTGCAGCAAAGTTGTACGCAAATAGTTGTGCTTGCGCGCATGCACGAAGGACAGGGCCGGTTCGCTTGAACTTATCAGTCGACTTATCAGCTAGAATCTACAGTGTTTTTCTCTTACAACAAAAAAGCTTCAGCATACTTTAATACCAGCCGAACAAGCCCAATTTACATGTATATGGCCCTATAAGTTTGTTTAGGGTCTGATTAGGGCCGGGTCCGTGCCGTAAACTGGTGGCACCTGATTCACGTTGCTGGAGGATGCTCGTCTCAAGACCTAAGATGTTCACAGGAAAAGAAGTCAAGCACTAATTGATTATGCTTATATTCTCACTTTTTTTTCTGAGTGGAACAGTGTCGATATTTCACCACCGATAGCCTGCCACGGGGGTACTCGGGGCAGTTTGTTCGGGCTTCAGCGTATGCAGAACTCGGCGGTGAACGCAAGAGACAGTCGATTTATCCTGGTTCAGGCCCTCGATCGTGATTAAGTAATAGCCCTACGTCCAGTCGGCGTTAACCTTTGCATTGGATTGATTGTCCTCTCTTCTCTAGGAACCCCGCCCTCCTTTATATAGTCAGGAGGCCAGAGTCCTAGTCGGTTTACAATGAGAGTTCCTAGTAAGATTACAGAATAATACTATTACTACGATTACATGGAAGAAATCCTAGTCAAACTAAATCTCCTCTCTTCCTTACGGTGTATCTCGTGGGTCCCGCATCGACAAACAGTATTAGTGCTTTTTTCTCAAATAACACTCTGCGCACAGCCCCACGCACTCGGTCCTACACATGTGCACAAAACCTACTCATATGAGTACATTGGAAATATTGAGTTGGCAGATCTCGAGATTGACAAAGTCGTCGTAGATGTCTCATTGTCGACACGTCGCCTACCATTGAAATAATAATATCGTTAACGAGCACTCGTGCTAGCCTAGAACTTAAATCTAGTTGGGCTGGTTCCACCACAAGAGCTGAGCTAAGTTCAGTTCGCAACAATTTGCCATGTTCGCTTGGCTGATAAGTCGTGGCTGAAAGTACTGTTGGCTGATTTGTTATGAAAGAAAAATATTATTCGTTGGCTGAAAAAGTATGGCTTATAAGCCAAGCGAAGAGGGCAATCAGTGCTCATCATCAATCATCATATAGTGACAAATTTTACTTTGCATTACCCGCTACTACTAGTAATATCTTTGTGAAAGCATTCTAACAAGATACGATCATCATGTCCTAATTAACCAGACATTTATATATATTCTACATTAGCTTGTGATGCAAGTTGGCAGTTGGATCAGTTATATTATTGTTCCACCATACCAGCAAAACCGTCTCAGCGTCACACCAAATGTACTTCCGCTCTCATCGCCTGCTTTGCTGCTACTAGCGCCTCCGCCAGCTTTCCAACTTCCGCAGCTCGACCGCCACCACTATATAACGCGCACCAGAGCCGTAATGCCGCCAGCCAGCTCGTCATCTCTCCTCACTTCTATATCAAGCCACACGGCCGCCGGCGCACCGGAGCCGCAGTGCCGCCGCCTCTCTCAATTCCCATCCCACAGGACACAGACAACAGATATATATATATATATATATATATATATATATATATAGAGAGAGAGAGAGAGAGAGAGAGAGATCGGATTCGAATGGCTCGGGACGCTGCGTGCTGCACCGCCATCTCCATGTTGCTCACTGCTCGCGTCCTGCTAGTTCTCGCGGCCACCTTTACCGGTAAGCAAGCATATATATACTTATATATACTGCACACGGCAAGAGGTCGACGCGAGCTGTGCATCCTTGCTATTTGTAATACTGTGTAGCTTGCTGTTCCTGTGTGCTTGGAGAAACTGACGCTGATCATGATCCGCGTGCCGTGCGCGCGTGCGGTGGTTTGCAGTGGTGGCGGTTATTCTGCCGGCGACGGCGCGGGCGGCGTGGGTGGACTACCCGTCGGGGGTGCCGTGCGGGGAGACCATCCCCGTGGAGCAGTGCGACCCCGGGGACGCGGCGGCGAACAGCGCGTGCATGGACATGTGCCACTACGGCGGGTGCCAGCGCGGCGGGCAGTGCGTGTCGCTGGGGCTCGCCAGGGGCCGGGGCTGCCACTGCAAGTGCTAGGCCTAGGCTAGCTGGCCAATCGAGCTGTTGTGTTGGCAGGCAGGATCATGCAGCGGCCAGCGGCAGAGGGAATTTGGTGGTGCACTTTTGTACACTAGCCGATTAGTCGTATGGTATGGTAGGTGACGGGGCCGGTTACGCTGAGTATCACTTTCTTTTGTAAGTTTTGTTTGTTCTTATTCTGCCTTTAGTTGGTGTGCACAGCCTGCAAGTGAGTTTTGCGTTTTGAGAGAGAGAGGTATAATAAGAGAAACAGAGGAGACAGAGACTCGTCAGATGCTTTTCGCTCGCTCGCTTGCATGTCTGCCTCTAGCTTTTTTTTTTTTTTACTAGCTAATATGCCGTGCATTACGACGAAAAAAAAAACTATAAAACGCTAATGAAACCAAGAACATAAGTGCTATATATCTGTGTATGTTTTACTATTCCTATAAAAAAATAAAAAATATTATTTTTATGGTGATCATGACATCCTCGATATCAGTTAATATTGACAATAATATGATAGTATCCTATTAAGTCTTTATCGAATTAGAATACAACCTTGATAGATTTTTTTTATACTATTCTAAGGCACAAAAGGTATTACCTTCACTCCAACAGACTGTTAAAACCTCATCTCGATTTAGGAGAGGGGAAGGTTTCTCCTTTCTTAAGGAGAGATGGTAGTGAATTTAGGAGATGTCCTAAGGAATATAGGGATAAGAGATGTGTGAAATAAGCCGGTCTTAAGGACGTCAAAATTAAAAATTCCTATAAAAGAAAAAATTGTCATTTGATTATCTTATTCTCCTTCCACATACTCCTAGTAGATTTCAGTGAACTGCATTGGCAATCTACTCATTTTTTTTTAGTAAGAAAAGGAATAAGATCTTCTTCTTAAAATTATAAGATATAGTTCTTGAATTCCATACTTCGTTCCATTGACATTTGTAAGGTTTTTTTTTTTTGCATTGTCGTGCATGCGTGATCCTCAGACAAAGCACTACACGGAGCAGCGAAAGCCTTCACCCATCATCCTCTTTTTCTGATCTACAAGCAAGGCCCCACCAGCGCTCGGGCTCACCACCAACGCTTGGTCTTGTCATCCATTTGTTCAGTTGCCACCACCGCCGTCTCACTGACATGCTGCTTGCCGCATCTCTTCTCTCGTGGTGCGAAAGAAGCAGAGAGACGGATGTGCGCCTGGCCCTAGTGCCTGCTGCAGCGAATCAAAGCAGGTTGCTCTTTCCTTGTATTAGCTCGATCGACGTCTCTAGCCTGGTCGATCTCCTTCAACCTCTGTGCGTCCCAGCTCGGCGTCCTCAACGACCAGCCCGACCTCTTTGAACTTCCGTGCGTCCTAGCGAGAGCGTCAGTCTCCTGTAGTGATATTTGTAGTGCACCCAAGAGATGTTGCGACGCTAGCAGATAAGTAGAGTCCTAGCCAAATACGGAGGGCCCAAACACGAGCAAGGAGGTTTTGGCCTTCCTGTGTTTTCTTTAATCGTGGATGCAGAATTGGACGAATAGATAACCAGAATACATGTTATTTTGATGGGCGAATAAATAGGGGTACTTAATATTAGGCAGAGAGTTGTAGGATACTCAGGATCTATTTGGATTAGGATTTGGATCCGTACCTATCCAGGTTAGTTCAAAAAGGCCTACATATGTTACTATATATGTATAAAACAAGAAAGTTGTAGAGAGACGAAACAGTTTTCACATTTACGGAGTTAGTTAGAGGAGGCCATACCAAAAAAAATTAGGTATCAAAACATACGTTGAAATTTTGCCTTTTTATTATTAGGTATAGATTTTTTTTAAAAAAAAAGGTGATGCTAGTTGAGGGCTGAGGCGTAGCAGTACGTTAAGCTTGTTGCAGATCAATCGAGTTGATCTGCACCGCTAGCGCCCGAACGCTCTGCCGTGCAGTCGGTTTTCCCTCCGTTTCGCGCAATCACAATATGGGCCCACGCCGTCTGGACTTCGCTCGACCGCACCTGCATCACATGCATCCACGCGGGGGCCCACGCCACCTCAACGTCGCCTGCGATGGGACTGCTCGTGCCCCCTCCCACTTCCCACACGCATACCATATGCAACACCTGGTCTACATAAAAAAAGACAAATGAAACATTTGAAACATATATCTGAAACACTTGCAAAAATAATTGAAAACCATTGCAATCGTCCAGATAAAACACTTATAACATATGTGTGAAACATATGCAACATCCAGATAAACACACTTGCAACATACGTCTGAAAAACTGATGAAACATTAGGGATATACACTTGCAACATACGCGTACAACTATTGCAACATCTCGATCTACTTTTGCAACATGCATGTGAAACAATTGAAACGTACCTCTAAAGCATCTGAAACATTTCAAATGTACACTTGCAACATGCATCATATCCTGGTGTAGCCTCCTCCGCCTTCTACGTCGGGGCGCCGCAGCCGTAGCAGAAGACAAGGGCAGAGGGCTTCCGCGCCAAGGTCCGCAGCCGAAACGTTTATCCTTCATAAAGAATGAAGTATATCAAGACGAATAAGCTTATATTTTACATGAAGTGCCACTCAGCGAACACTGTTTCACACAGCAACAGTTCAAAGGAAATAGAGGCAACTCTGCAGCAGCGACCGAATGCTACTAACCCACGCTTCCATCACGCCGAGCAGTACTGGAGAGGTCTGAGTTGACAACGGCCGCCTTGCTCAGTGTCCGCCAAAGTCCTTATGTGTCTAGAGGGTGCTTAAGGCATGTTTGGATCCGATGACTAAATTTTAGGAGGTGTATCGGAAGGATGTTGTATGGGATGTTCGGATACTAATAAAAAAACAAATTACATAATCCGTCAGCAGCACACGAGATGAATTTTTTAAGCCTAATTAACCCGTCATTAGCACATGTTTACTGTGGCACCACATTATCAAATCATAAACTAATTAGGCTTAAAAGATTCGTCTCGAAAATTAGTCACAAACTATGCAATTAGTTTCTTAATTAGTCTATATTTAATACTCCATGCATGTATCAAACATTCGATGGGACAACGACTAAAATTTAGGAGGGGCAACCAAACACCCCTTACTGAATGTCTGTTCTCTCATTATCACTGTGTAGCCTTAACGAGTGAGGATATCAAGCATGCTGCTTGTTTGTAGTGTCTTGCCTATCTTGGGCCTTGTGCACGCCAGTTTTTCCTTGCATGCTTGAGAGAGCCAAATCAGGGCAGGCCAGGCAAGGTCTAGGGCTCCAGGCGGGCCAGGTACATGAACAGCTACCACAATCTTGCTCACAACCAGCGCCAGCCAGGGCAGCTACATGAACATCTGCCACAATCTTCCTCACAACCCCAACCGAAAAATTGCCTCATGCTAAACATGTTCCTAGTACGAGCACTGCTTGCTGGCAGCATACAAAACGAGGGATGAGAGCGCCTCCCTGAAGCTACGCTGCTTATTCGCCAGCAGAGAATACCACATCTCAGAAACACTCGTATGGCAGGCAATGTTTACAAATTAGTACACAGCTCATACATCATCACAGTTTACAAATCACAAAGAAAAGAGGCAGCATCGCCACAAAATATCGTCCATCCCTTTCTGCTGAAACCCTACGCTGTACTGGGAATGCAACAGTCCTATAGTCTTATTCACACTTTGCAAACACAACAAACTGATAAAGGACACAGCACTGGTGTGTTGTCCCTATAATTGGAGGTAATGAGTACATCAAGTGGCCGGCATCAGGGACCTCCAAACACAACTGGGGGTGGAGGTGGACACTAGGTTCTGGAGCAAGTACACTCATCAGGATGGTTGTATGTATTCTATCCGACGAGAAAAAGGCAAAAGCAAGAGGTGCGCAACAAGCTGCTGTATGAGATAGGCTTTGGCTATACATCTGGATAAATAGCACCCACCCAGCACCTTCTGCTCATCAACCACAAATGTACATCTCTGGAGCTGAGTGTCAGCTAGGCTGTTCTGACTTCTGAATATAATTACTGATGTGGATGCGGACAAAATTCCACGGTTCGCCGCTTGTACAGGTGCAAGATTCTGGGCTGATCTCAGAGCAGCAGACAGTCCGCAGAGTAGTGTATTTACAGCTACTGTACAGGGTTTTTCACTGGCCGGCCCATCAATTGGCATTGTTGAGGCAACAAACTACAGCGAACTTGCCCCTTGACATGGAGTAGTTCGCCATCAATACCACATCCATCGTGTGTATTTGGGCCTGCCTTGAGCCTCACAGACTTCACCTGAATTTAGCACAGCAATAAAATGAAGAGTTAAAAAACTTTCACATGAAAAATTCTGAAAGAATGATAAACACATAAATCATTAACCATGGCAATGTCCAATGGTTGTGACATTCGCATGAAATGCCATGGAAATAAATTCCATGACAGTAGAACATGCATGACAGAAAGCATGGCATTCATCAAGGCATCAAGCCAAAATCAAAGCAGCACTATCATGTATAGAGTAATGGAAGATCCAACACTTGGCAAAGAGAAGCAGCCATAGCATACCTTTACATATTCTACATTTGGAAGAGATATGTGCTTTCCAAACTGCAAAAGCACCAAAAATCTCAGTAATCTCAGTCTTCCACGTCCACCAACTAACAGCAGGTCCAAACAATTGTCATCATATTCAGCCTTGGGAGCAACAACCTGAGAGCTCAGACTCTGCACAGTCTTGCATGAATGGTTGCACATCAGTACACCAAGATAGCGCCCTTTCCTAACTGTCCATCTTTCATCTAAGCTCGGTACCAGCTCCTTAGTCAGACCAAGCTCAATGTCCTCGCGAGGACTATGGAGCTCAATTGAAGTCTCAGGTTCCCAGTTAGGTTGATTATCCCATTTAGGTCCATCGTCCCACTTTGGTCCTGAATCCCATACAGCCACAGGTCCAGGATCAGAAATTGTGGACGACGTGTCCTCTTTGTCTGCGTTAACCTTAGAGGATTTTGCATCATTTGTAGCAGACAAGCCTGGCCTTGCCTTTTCAGTCCTTGATTTTGACTTAGATCGACGCCAGTTGGGAGTAGATGTACCATGGGAATGGGGATGAAGCACTTCTTCTGGTTCTTTAAATGTGCTCCCTCTCCCTAATGATAAGCGCTTTGATTTCGGGTCAAGTGCACGAACAACCTCAGAAGGTTCATTATTTGCACGAGGACTACAAACCTCCAGCTCTGCCCCAGACATTATTGAATCAATGCTAGATAAACTTGAGGCGCGTGGTAAACATTCTGCTCTTGATCTCCGAACTACATCATCATATAGATCAGATGCATCGACCTTTTCTTGTCCTACCAAAATTTTATGCTCAGCACCATTGACATCTGACACTGGAAGATATTCCAATTCAAAACTGTACTTTGGCAAACACAGGAATTTGAGAAAACCAGCTACAAAGTATCGTAAAGGACCAAAATGCTTCTGATATTTCTCTGAGAGCTCAAGAACTGCAAGAGATGATGGAACGTCACTTTTTTTAATTGCAGAAAAACTAAAAAGTGACCTAAGCCTAGCTCAAAGGCTAATTTTAGAGAACCAGGACAGATAAAAAGTCTGACGTGTTGAATATTTACCATCGCTAACAAAACCAAAATATGATACGGTTGTGCCATAATGCATAGTCCCACTTTGAATCCATTCAACAGAAAAAACATCAATAGGTGTAAGACCTCCCTGCAACCAACAGGTGGTTCAATAAACATTTACATAGAACCACACATATCCACATCAAACTGTTCAAGCTAAAACTTAAAAAAGTACTGAGGAACATCTATTGATTAAATTATGCAATCAAATGTACAAACAGTAGACAGATAGACATACCATACTTTCACCTATTGAAAAGCTTTAACTTGCAACAATTAAACTTGCTTCATCAACTATTTTTCAATCTTCTAAGGTACTTATTAACAAAGAAAAAGCATGCTTGAGAAGGAGGACTGGATGAATCAGGCAGCATTATAAAAGGGCAGACCCAGTGCCGGAGGCTCCCACATGAGTGGGGTCTGGGGAAGGGAAAAACCGAGGCAAGCCTTCCCCCCGCAAAATCTGCGGACAGGCTGCTTCGAACCCGCGACCTGGTGACTCAGTGAGACAGCTCTCACCACTGCACTAGGCCTGCCCTTCAATCAGGCAGCATTATACTAAGCCTATATATTTCATGTAGGTATGTTTCCCTTTTTTGCCTTTCCTAATATAATATATAATTTCAAAAGCACAGTTGCTCCAAGTAGACATTATGACAGGAGTTATGGCGGCTTATACTCAATTCAGAATACATCAGATTTGCAGTTTCAGTACTAGAAAGGTTAAAAGGACTTTCTGACACTGAGTGACTGAAACCCTACATGAGACAATGTTTTACCCACTCTACTCTCTAGGATGCCTCAAAGCACTGGAGAAACAACATAGCCAGCAAGGATAGAGCTACAGAAGAAAACTTGAGCTACTTATCCTACATCAAGATCACAGGCTAACCCAATTAGTGAGCATCTAGTATGGAGAAACATGGGTGGTGCTGACAGCACAATGGCAATACACAGCCACTGGAATGCACCATTTAACATGGATGTGTAGTGTGTCAACAGCAGGGTAACATTACATGGCCAAGTGAATGTAGAGGAGAGATGGTACATGGACATGCAGAAGATTGCACATGTAAAGAAGTTAGCTTGTTCAACATACAAATACTGAGAAAAAGAGAGATGATATGAAGACGGGTAGATTCGGGTTGCATGGGCAACGAAGTGACATTGTAGGATGGCAATTGTGGGAATAAAAAAGGGCGTACCCAGTACAGAGAACGATGCCGGTTTGGGATGTCCTCATGGCCGGAACGATGGCGTTCTCCAGCGTCGGGGCCAACCCGGTTGTGGCCCGGCGAGCGCAGTTGCTTGCAATCTCTGGCAATGTGTTGAAACCCTCGGCATCGCAGAGGCAAGCAGCACGTGGCGATGCGGTGAGAGTAAGACAAGCAGTTTAGGCACCTGTCTCGCAACGCTTCCGCGATGCGACTCCGGCGAGGTGGCTTGAAGGTGGCGGCGCGCTCAGCAGGCGTCGGTTCCGCCTGCCTATGCAGGACCACCCGCCACCCTTCCGCGTCAGGAGGTGAGATGTGCCTCCTCCGCAGCGGAACACACGCGCCCAATCTTTGGCCGGCAGGGACGCGCTCCGTAGGGCCCTGGTTGGCCTCGCCGCGAGGTCCCAGCCGCCGATGAACAGGGATGCGGTCTCCCCCGGTGGGTGCGCGACGCGGCCTCCTCCTGTGCCCGCGTCGCCTACAGCCTTGACACTGCCTGCCGTCGACCTCTCGTGTTGTCTCCGCTGGCCGCTCGTCGACCTCTCAGGTGGGCGACAAGGCACTGGACCTTGCCGGCCTGGGGGTTTCCCGAGCGGTAGAGCTCCTATGGACAACATCGACGAAGGAGGCCTGGGTAGCAATGGGTGGGGAGAAGTCGGATTCCGAGTCGGAGGAGATGGAGTCCTCAGACCAGCGCATGGCCTTCGGGCGTCCAAGGGCACCGCTGAAAGGTCCTTGTGTGGTTTTGGTAATTGAGTGATAACCTAGGTGGACTAATTGTGTTTATGTGGGATACACAGGTGATTAGTCCATAGGTACATGTGTGTGAGAAACATATGCCATGAACGTGAAAATGGCTTGGAGATGTTGCAAAGCTCACACATGTGATGATGAAGGAGCTCATTGCAAATGGGACATGACATTGAGCCATGTGATCAAGGTAGAGAAGATCTAGACAAGACTTGGCTTGATGGATCGGTTGTAAGCGTGAAAGGCAAGTCGGAGGCTTTGGAGCGATGGACCGCGTGACGGTGAAGCTTGAGCAAGACTTGGCGTCGATGGACGAAGGCAACGGTGAAAAGCAAGTGAAGTCAAGATCGATGAACCAATATGATCATGTGATGATATGAAGTGGATCATATCGTTGTTGATCGTGTTGGTGCATGTGTTGCATCGACATTGGAGAAGATGGAATGGAATGCGCAAGGCAAAGGTATAACCTAGGGCATTTCATTTCACCGGTCATAGGTGTGTAGAGAAGTTTATGACCGGGTTTAGGATAGATGGCCGTACTATCAAGAGGAGTAAATTTGTTTGCATATCGGTCATCTAGTGCCACTCGAGTGATCCAACTTTGCATCGTTGCTAGGATCGAGTGACGTGGCAAGTTGAGTGGCTAATCCTTTGAAAAATGTTTGTGAAAAGCTAACACACATACACATGGTGGTGTACACTTGGTGGGGTTGGCACATTTGTAAAGGAGAAGAAGTTGGTAAAGAAAAGGAGTTAGTCGTGCTGGTCACAGAGTGACCGGACGCGTCCGGTGTGGATACCAGACGCGTCTGGTATGTGACTCGGTACTAAATAGCATAGAGCGACCGGACGTGTCCGGTCGCCAGTCGATGTTCAGTGTAACAGTTGATCGGACGCTGGCAACATCCGGTCCGAAGTGACCGGACGCGTACGGTCGTCCCTGGATGCTTACTGGACTCGATCGGACGCTGAGGCTCAGCGTCTGGTCATTTCTAACAGACGCGTCCAGTCGGCCCTAGGAGCTTACTGGACTCAACCGGACACAGCGGCTTAGCGTCCGATCGTTTCGAACAGCGCGCCCGATCGGACATGTTAGAGAGCCGCGGCTAGTTTAAATGGGACACATGGCGGTCAGGCAGCGATCGGACGCGTCCGGTATGGCGACCGGACACGTCCGGTGCACACACGACCTGCGCGTCCGGTCGTCCCGAAATTTGCCCAGTAAAGGGATAACGGCTACTTTAGCCCGTGGGGCTATAAATAGAAGGGTGTCTCGGCCATGGCTGGTGCTGAGCACCTTGGGGGGACTTTGTGTCCATGCTTGTGAGTGCTTGGGAGCCCTCCATCTCACATATGCTTGATAGTGATCATTCGATTGTGTGAGAGAGCGATTCTAGTGCGATTGCATCGTGAGGCTGCATCGAGTGGCACTAGGTGATCGAGTTGCAAGCCGATGGTGCTTGTTACTCTCGGAGGTTGCCACCTCCAAGACGGCTTGGTGGTGGTCTCCGTCGAAGCCCGCAAGAAGCTTGTGCGGTGCTCCAAAGAAGAGCTTTGTGAGGGGCATTGTGCTTGCCCCGCGGGAGCCATGAAGAGCAACTCTAGTAAAGAGTGTTATTGAGCTACCCTCACTTTTGGGGCAGGTTCTTGCGGTGCCCAACGTATGGGATTGGCGGGTAATGCCAATTAGCCGCCGAACCACCAAGTGAGCGGTCGACACAATGGGGACTAGCGTGTTGGCAAGCACGTGAACCTCGGGAGAAAAATCATTGTGTCAACTTTGTTCTTCCCGTTGGTTTGCATCCTCGTTAGACAAGCTTGTAATTACTTTCATATACATTGTGCTTGTGTAGTTGCTCTTGTAATTAGTTTGCTTGTGTAGCTTACTTGTCATCTTCTTGCTTGTGTAGCATAGAAGTAGCTCCCTTGCGTGGCTAATTTGATTTGTGTAACCTTGTTAGTCACATTGTTTAGTTTGTGTAGCTAAGTATTTGCGCTCTATAATTTGGCATTGATCACCTTGTTATTGAGCATTGCTAGTGAGCTTAGGTGGCTTTGTGCTTTTGCTTACTAGCATGTGTAGGAGCTCCCTTATTGCTTAAAGTACTAGTGGCATAGGTTTGTGTGACCTTGCTTCTAGAATTGGTTAGGTGAGCTCTAGCTAGCCCGACACCTTAATTGCTTAATTAGGATCTTTGTAAGGTGCTAGAGAACATAAGAAGAGGGGTGTAGTCTTGGCTAGACCGAATTGTTTTAATTTCGCACTTGTTTCGGTTAGCCGGCGTGATTAAGTTTTAGTAACGACTATTCACCCCCCTCTAGTCGCCATCTTGACCTTACAAGTGAAATCAGAGCTAGGTCTCTCATTTGTGGTCTTCACCGACCCGAGAGGATGCCGACTTATGGGCTAGATGTTGATTGTCCACATATTTTTTATGCCACACACTTTGCATGGTGGAAAAATTGGATGATATGCAATTTTAGGTTTATTTGCCCTCAAATGTGGTGGATGGTAGATGTAGGCTTTTCTCATGTGTTGGACGAAGATAATCTAACTCAAGCACAAGAGAAATGCCTAGATCTCAACATCCAAGCTACTAACATCCTGTATAGATCTTTGCATGATTGCATATTTGGAGAGATCATTG